TATAATAAAAAAAATAAATTAAAGAAATTACATAAAAAGTAGAACTTTTAAATAGTTGATTTGATATTAATATCGATTATCTTTTTTCAAAATTTTAAAATTTTATGATATCTTCAAATTTATATTTCAATTAAAAATAAAAATATTTTCTTTTTTTCAAAACCACATAAAACCGATTTATAACATTGATAGACCCAAATTATAAAAATAAAATATTAAAATCAAAATGTATCTCGTTGTATTGCACGGATACCCTTCTAGTAAATAAAAAAAAGCAAAGCCATCTAAAAATTCAAAATGCCCCACATGAGGTCACTTAATAGTAGGGGTGAGCAGCAGAATCGGGTACCCGTTTGCGGAACCGGAACCGCCTTAGAAACCGCCGGTTCCGGAACCAGAACCGATATGAGTGGTTCCGGTTCCTAAAATACGRAACCGATTGAGAACGGTTCCGGTTCCGGTTCTCAGTTTTTCGGAACCGTTATCCGCCGGGTACCCGGAACCGGCGTTTGTTTTTCAATAAAAAAATAATTGATTTTTTTCAATACCAAATTTATATTAAGTTACATCTTCAAATGACGCGGTCATCTTCATTCTTCATCTACTTTCTAGTTCTACTAAACTACAGTTCGTAGTATGTAATCGTTAAATTTTGAACATTTACAATTATAGTATATAATCATTAAACTTTGAACATTTTCTATTAGTATATTATGGTTTGTAATCGTTAAAACAATATTTGTAACTATTATTTCGTATAATTTGTATTCTTGTTTATTTAATTTAGTGTTTTGGCAATATTTTATTTTTATTTTTAAATAACAAAATTTAAATATTTTAGGAAGCGGGTACCCGGAACCGCCGGGCCAAAAATTCAAGAACTGCTCTAACCGGTTCCGGTTCCGGTTCCAATATCTCAAGAACCACCGGTTCCGGTTCCGGTTCATATAAAAAAGGGCGGGTACCCGCCTATGTCACCCCTACTTAATAGCAACCTCTATCAAACTTTTGATGTAATTATTAAACTTGAGGGAAGAAAATCTGAGTTTCCCAGAACAGGAGGACTACTTTTGTAATTTACTCAAATTTTTTATGGGCCCAATCCGTACCAAGACACAAGACGAAATTGGAGGCCCAACTTACAGCGGCTACAAAATACAAATGGACTATGCCAGCAAACAAAAGAACTTCAAAATTCTGCATGTTTTAGCAACTTGATCAGTCTTTGGCTGTAACAATCATCGATTGTAATTCGATTTTTCTCAGAATTACCGCTCTTCTGCTATTAACCAGGGAATGACCCCATCATTCGTGTATTTGGGTGTCTCTAAATGACCGTTCGATGAAATGTCTACAACCTGTTCGATGAAATGTCTGAAAGAAAGAAAATCTTTACAGCAGGTCCTGAGGATATCCAGTTTTTCACTGAATTGTACGGGTTTTCATTTGGGTACGTCTTGTAGACTTATGGGTAGTTTGGTTGAACTGGTGGGTTTTGGGACAGAAAATCTGAAAGCATAGATGCAAATGCAGACAGATTAATGTGTCCAGGAGTGATTTTATTCCTTTGCGACGTGATTCTAATCTAGAGCCAGAAAGAAAGTGGGTTGGTGGTATGGTGATGAGAAACAAAGAAATCATCAAATGGCCGAAGCAAGTGACCTCATCTCTAGTTGAGCAACTGATAAAATCTGAAAGGAATGTAGAAAAAGCTGTTATTGTATTTGATTCTGCAACAGCGGAGTATGCTAACGGCTTCCGGCATGACCACAAGACTTATGGGCTCATTGTCTCTAAGTTATTATCCGTGAATCAATTTAGAAGAGCAGAGGATTTTGTTGATAGAATGAGAAAAGAGGACTGTAGAGTTACCGAAGAAATACTTTTGTCGATATGCAGAGCCTACGGACGGGTTCATAAGCCTCATGATGTGATGAGGATTTTCCAAAAGATGAAGGAATATGAATGTGAACCCACATTAAAAGCTTATGTTACAGTCTTTTCCATCCTTGTTGATGAAAACCAATTAAAGGTGGCTTTGAGGTTTTACAGGTATATGAGACAATTGGGTTTTCCTCCAAATGTTGCTTCACTTAATGTCTTGATTAAAGCTCTTTCCAAGAATAGTGGAACCATGGATTCAGCAATTCGGATCTTTCGGGAGATGCCTAACCACGGGTGTATCCCAGATATGTATACATATGGCACTCTAATCAACGGGTTGTGTAAAATAGGGAAGATTAATGAAGCCAAGGAGCTTCTAAAGGAGATGGAGATGAAAGATTGTTCACCAAGTGTTGTCACCTATACTTGTTTAATTCATGGGTTATGCCAGTTGAATGATTTGGATGAAGCTATGGCCTTTCTTCAAGAAATGGAGGCTAAAAAGATTATTCCAAATGTGTATACCTACAGTTCTCTTATAAATGGCCTATGCAAGAATGGGCGTAGTTCTGAGGCCATGGAACTCTTGGAGGTGATGGTTGGCAAACGTCATAACCCGAATATGGTAACTTACAGCACCTTACTTCATGGACTATGTAAAGAGAAAAAGCTTCGAGATGCTTTGGAGATATTTGATAGGATGAAGCTTCAAGATTTAAAACCTGATGCGGGTTTGTATTGGAAAATCATTGTAGTCTTTTGTGATGCTCAGAAATTCCAAGAAGCTGCAAACTTTCTTGATGAAATGGTTTTTGAGGGAATTCCCATCAAGCGAGTAACTTGGAGTCTTCATGTTAAGATCCACAATACTGTGGTTCGAGGTCTTTGTAGTGCGAATGATTCAAATCGAGCGTTTCATTTATACCATAGTATGCGCACTAAGGGAATTTCTGTTGAGGCCGAAACTTTTGAATCACTTGTTACTCTTTTTTGCAAGAAACACGATCTTTATAAGATGGTGCGCGTTTTAGATGAGATGGTCATTGATGGATGCAGTCTGAGTGAAGATACATGGGGTGATTTGGTTTGTAGAGTTTGGGGGAAACAAAAGGCGGAAGAAGCTGCTGATTTGATGAGTGAACTTGTTCTGTTTGGAAATCAGCTCTGATAAACGTCATCTATCGGTAAATCCAATCATCTGTCCTTTTTTTGTTCATCATTTTATAGATTTTGAAAATGATTGTCTAATAAGCATGTATGCACACACTCTCACAGGTTAATCTGAATGTTTATTATGTATGATATACATCATAACATCATCACTCTCTCTGTCTTGTGAAAGCTTTCTGATTTTGATCTTGGTCTGTAAGGATGCATTTGCTAGCAAGATAGGACGGACGTAGCAAACAAAAACTTCTTGTCCCATATTTGGTGCAACATTAGACTAGGAAATGACAGAATTGAGTGGCACAAAAACCACAAAATAGGTGGAACAGGATAAGATTGGTAAATTACTAAACTATCCACTTGCACTTGTCCAGTCCTGATACTAAAAATCAGGGTGTACCACTCAATCCTTTTTGATGGACTGGACTGGTGCAAGTGAGGTCGGCAGGTCACGAGTGTACCAAAAGATTGGTAAATTACTAAATTACTAATCATCTATCTTTTTTAATGTCAACTTTGGTAAAATTCATCTATCAGTAAATTACCAAATGACTTGATTTATCCTAGAACTACAACATGCCCCTTTGGAAATCCCAGGATAGAGTATGGTTATCTTAAACAGAACTATCCTCTATTCAATGCCTATCTCCTGCTCTATGTAACTAGTATTTATAACTAGAAACTGTTCATAGCAGGTGTATATAAGTTATTCTTTATCCAGGGTAAAGACGCGTGAAACTTCGTAGGCACCCAACGCTACGCCAGTCGGCATCCAACGCTATGGCATCCTAAGCACATGAAAAATACATGGTTATTCTTTTTTGTTAACTAACGAATAAGAAAAATTGAAAAAAAGAATATTACAATGGTCTTTACAAAGTGGTTACATAGTTCTATTCCTAATGAGGATAAGATCAAAAAGGATAAACTGATATTCTGGAATAAATTTTATAATTCAATATATTATAGTGATACTAATGTAGGTGATGTCAAGAGCAAATCTAATGAGTACAAGGATGAGGTACTATCAATATTGAATAGTTATAAAGCAGACTTCCCATTAAGTGAAGATAAATAAAACGAGATCTAACTCTCAATAGAGGACTTGACTATGAGTTTCAATGAGAAATCTATGTTTGAATGAAGTCCAAACTTAATCAAAATGCTAATTAGTGATGATTATGATGAATGTGGTAAGGAATTTCTTTTGGATAAGGTTAGCTCATTGGAAGATAAAAATGCTTTCAGAGTTGGGTCAATATAGCGTAGAAGCAATAATTGTTTATGTGGTCTTTCAGTTATTTATTTACATCAGATTCAAATACTATAATTGTTCATGTTGCTACTTTGGTAGAACAACTAGAAAGAAAGTTATCATTTATTAATGATAAGGAACAAAAGAAAAAATGATGAAGAGGTAGGTTTAAATGATGATATAATCAAGGAGGAGTTGGGTAAGAAGTCTGGTAGAAAACCAAAATTGGTTAAGATGTATCCCATTGGTTCATGATCAGTAGAATTTATGGAAGATAACATTATCATCAGAAGAAGCAAGGCTCTTATTGTCTTCTATGCACTCTGCAATTTTGATATCACATTACTTCCAATTAAGTTTAATCTACCTATGCCTATGGTATGCAAACCTTTGGATTGGATGAGTGCCAGAATGCATGGTAAAAAGCCAAGCTACCTGTCAGATATAAAAGGTGGTTACTTAAGTGGTGATCTCAGTTGTTGAATTCAAACAACATTAACAATCATTAAGTTGATACTGAAGGAGATTACACGAAACTGTCTAGTGTATTTGTAATGAACAAGTTGCAGAGCCAGCCTTTTCAAATCTCTAGTGCATGGTTAAATTATATTAATGCAAATTATAATTAGTTTGTTGACTCAGGTCTACTCATGCCAAAATATCTTATAGATATAAATTTAAAACATATATCAAACTCTCTTAGGTTCTGTTTACCAAATTTTCTATTAAGTACTGTCTGGATAAATTTGTCTTTCTACATAAATATATGTTGCAACTTACTTTTCTATCTGAATCAACAGTCTGAATAACATAAATGACCAATTTACCCCTGAGAATGAACTACGCGCTATTTAATAAATTGTTGTTCATTTTTTAAGGCAAATGATATTTCTGAAAAATAAAATATTTAAATATCAAAACATAAATTTATAAATTCATTGATATCATCTAAAGATCAAGATATAAATTCATTGATATCATCCAAAAATTAAAACATGAAATACTTAAAAATCCAAGTTCAATCACAAAGTAGCCCAGTTCAAATCCAAGTTCAAACACAAAAATCCAAGTTCAAACATTATTGACAAAAACTATTTGCAATTCCATCTCTCAAAGTAGCCATATTTTGAGTGCTATTAGCATCCCATTGGGAAATGTCCAGTTCTTCTTCTCCATTTCCTTCGACTTCTTCTTTGTTGTTAAATATACTATCCTCATTGCACTCCATAAACAACTGGTCTTGAATATTATATTTTTTGATGAAATTATGTATCGCAAAGCAAGCAATTACCACATTTCTTTGTGTTGTAAATGGAAAGGGAGCCATATGCTTTAAGATCGGAAATCTCGCTTTCAAGACACCGTAAGCACGTTCAATAACATTCCTGAGTTGGGCATGTGCATGATTAAACATTTCTTCTTTAGTCAAAGCACGTCGACGTCGAAAATCTACCAACCAATATCTTGTGTTACGATATGGAGCCAAAAATCCACGAGCATTGGTGTACGCATCATCACAAAGATAATATTTATCTGAAAAACCATCCACATCAATCGTATAATATACAAGTAAAAAGTAAATTACAAATTGAGAATAGTTTATACCTTGTGGTGGAAAGGAAAACCAGATCTTGGGTTAAAAGCAACTTCCCTAGGTATTCTAGAATCATGCGCTATACCTTCCCATCCAGCTGATGTGCTAGAATCGTAAGTGTTCACACAGTGGACACAAAGTCCCCACAGCGGTGGTGCAAGTGCACGCCGACATTATGATCGCTTCAAGTAATAAAATGGTATAGTACCAAGATCGTTTCCTATAACATCCAATTTCTAATATGCCCAATTATTTGCTTAGTATATTTAATTATTGGGTTAAAGAGAACTTATGATTTAGTGGAGTTTGGGTCTGAATTTTAGAATTATATTTCTTAAGAATATATTAGAGGATTTGGAAAATATCACGTCAAATAGATAGATACGTAAAACGGATTTTTTGGGAGATCTTTTCTGGAATATTTTTCTTGGATGTTATAGATTATCTCTTTATGAACGTGTAGGCGAAAACCTCATAGAAACGGAAGTCCGAGCGAAAAGTTATGAATTTTTTAAGTGTTGATGGTCAAAATGGGTACCTAGCCGGGCCAACCCGGCCCAACTCGAGTTTTAGCATTTAAATTGGATTTTTAGCCCATTTTTCATGTCATCTAAGTCCAGAACTCTCACACACACACACACACACACACACACTAGAGGTGCGATTTTCACACACAGGCTTGATTCAACTCAAATAAAAGAAGAATTACAAGATCTTTGAAGGATTTGATCATCAAGTAAGGTATAATCCATTCTTTGCACTTGTTCTTGGTTGATATTCTTGTTATATGGATTGCATGTTGAGATAGAGTTAAGGTTTTATATGAGTTTGATCTTAAGTGTATAAAATGAGTGCATTTTAGTGTTTTTGCCTTGAAATGATCATTAGATTCAAAAGATTATCAAGATTTATGCAAGTTCATCATATGAACTTTGACTTGATCAAGTAATGATTTGGGAGATAATATAAATGATAAAATAAAGGTTGGATTTTGGTTGTTTATGTCAAATATGTTATATTAAGTTGAGATTMADAAGTTGRAATGGTTTGGAATCGAAATGGTTTGAGAAAAATGTATGAAAATGAGAATTTCGACTTAAGAATGCATTGAAAGTGTGTAGACTTTGAAAATCTGTAAAAAATCGTAGAAAAATCCAAATGAGGTGAGGCCAATTTCYTTAGTTAGATAATTGAGTCTAGTTTATTTCTTATTTTATGATCAAGGCATGAATTCGAGCTTAAAATGGGCAAAACAGTTCTGCATGCAGCAGCTGTACATAGAAATCTAAGTAAAATGTTCAAATAGGGTATGTGTATATCATGAGTTTCTTATATTGATTGCTTATGAGATTTTGTACATTTACTTCAAGGGATAATTAGGACATATTTTGATGCTTTGGAAGCATTCTAAGTGTGGTAGCTTGGACTTTCTTTGTGAGCTCATTTTGGAGCTTTTCGGTATTATACGGTTGCCCGGTGAGTTATATAGTTAATTGTTATATATTGATTTGAACATATATATTTTCATATGAATGTTTTTGGTCTTGAATGGAGTCACACGATCTTGATTTGTCTTTGATTCTGTCTCTTGAGTCGATTCCTTATTACTATCACGATACATCGGTTTGCTTTCTAGATCCAGACTCGTTGTTTTGTTCTTTGAATTGTACGCCATAGTACGGGTACTACTTCGTGTGGTACGTCGGAAGTTTATGGCGAAGTCAAGATCCTGGGTTGGACGGGTGAGACTTATGGCGGTTGTGAATACTCATTGCTCGAAGAGGAGGAAGAGCAATGAGTAGGGAACCTTGGCACATACCCGATAGAGGAAGGCGGGCAGTGCGAGGTTTCCGGTATTGTATGATTCTGACTCGGACTTTGGCATGAGCCCGGGAGGTGAAGGACAGGGTGATGCACTGTCCTCGTTATGTTTACCGATTCGATCTCTTGGTTCTTGATATTTATTGGTATTTTAACGTTGTTGAGTATATTTGGTTGTTGATCATATCTCCTTGTTGTATTGAGCATCAATGGTATGGTATATTATGGTGATTTGAATATGGAATCCTATGATCGGTACGTAATTGTTCACTCGGTTTCTTGTAAGTCTTGGTTCGCATCTAAATGATGTCTTGAACTCTTTTATTGATAAGAGTTTATTATGTATGTTTATAAACATGTGCGATATTGATATGTAATACTTAACTATTTAACTCACTAAGCGTTGGGTTACCATTTAAGTGACAACCACTCTCAGGAAAGAAGACGGATAAAAAGAAAGAACCCGTTGTCTGACTCGAAGATTTATCGGGGAACTTGAAGATTTCGATCTTGCTTTTG